AGAATATTTAATTTCTGCCAGGCATATTAGTTATTTTATGCATAATCAGCAATTTACCTGGGGTGGTGCATGGTCATTTTCTTGTAAAATATTATACTTAGACAAATTTTTTCTTCCAATGACCACCCTAAAAGCAACCCTTCTAAACACTATAAGCACTTCAGAAAGACTATCGCTTTTTGTTTTCTGAAGTTAGAGCTATGTCGACACTGCCGTTTCAGGGCGGGGTCATTTTCCGGACTTTCGTCCCGGATTCAGCTTTTGGCACATATGCCATGTTGACCGCCATGGTCATTTTACCCTAAAACAGTTGAGATTACCTGTGCTAAATGAAACGCATACAAACTCATATACAGGTCCTAGACTAATGTTACATTTATTTTTGCCAACTCAATTATCCATTTCCCAAACGAGCAGAGGACTGGGTCTAGTTGATGTTTGTAGGGACGTTTGGAGGGACAACAAGTTATAGTGAGCGAGCTAAATAAATATTAAAAGATGTCTTATTATAATTGTTGCCTTTCAAGCTGCACAAATAACTTTAGGAATGTAGGAAAACGTCCTAGATGCCATATTCGGCATATTGTTCATTTTTTGTCCCTCCAAACTAAGTGACTAGACCCAGTCCTCTGCTTGATTTGGAAATGGCTAATTCATATAAAATATTTCCTGGAATAAAGTAATTATATTATATCATATTATATTATACCTTGTATAATACACGTTGTTGTACATTGATTGTATTGTATTGTACTGAAATGTATGTTTTGCACATTGCAAATATATGGCAATTATCTATACATTGGAATTTCAACTGTTTATACCTTTGTACTTCTTTTTTATTGCTGGAAAGTAGTAAGCTTCCTTTCGGGTACAAAAGACCAGATTTTGATGAACCTTGCACCAAACCACCCTGCACCTGGTTCAAAAATTCACCCAGATTCTGATTAATTAATGAATCGTCAAGTAAGGATACCAAGGACGATTTGCTCAAACTCTCCAGTACCATTTTCCTAATAAATAAGATAAAAACCCTGATAGTTCACATTAACTTAATACTCAGAGTATATGCACTTATGAGACGCTCAGCAATACGAAACATTTCGCAAGGATAAACATTTGTTAGATTGATAATAAAAAAGTGGAACAGTGATTTAACTGTTGTGTGCGCAATTCCCTTACTCTGCTTGATTTTAAATCTCAACCTGGTTACCTGATTATCCGTTGGAAAAAAATGGGACTAAGTGTACAAACATTAATACCTCCTTGTGTCCAACAAGAAGTCAAACACTATGGTGTTTCATAAAGTACGTTTTATACATATTAATTATACTCACCCAGATGTGTTCTGATTCCCGCCCGATAGTACTAGTGGGTGACGACTTTGAGCAATTCCCTGAAGTTTGGCAATCAGCCGTAACGTTAGAGTCTTCCCGCAATTTTTCTCCTCAGAGAATATCAATCCCAAATTACTTTCGCCTGTTAAAAATAGTTAATGAAATTGAAACCAATAAGTTTTGACACTTACAGTAAGTCTGTGCATTGATCGATCAGGGGATTAATGTAGACTGTTTTTAGACTTTTCAGGTAGTTATACTAATCTTGCCCCGTGGAAGCTTATAATATAAGCATAAGAACAACACAAACTTTACCATATTTGTCGTCATCTTTGGATGATCGAAGGATTCTTGTTGCGACAAATGATAGCGACATCTTAAAGGGATGCTCATTTACATCGAAGTATGAAGACAAATCGACAAGCCTGTATAAAATATAATACGAGAATGTCGGCTACCAGGCTAATTAAACTAAGTATAATAAATAAATTTTTAAAAATTATTTAATTTTTGTACAGTTTTATTATTGAGAAGTAATACTTAATTTCCTTCAAATAATTTGACATAATTTATTATTTTCCCCCTTTTTTATTTGTATTGATCGCGAGCCATCTTAATAATACAGGTTCGACTGTACATTTTGGTCACACGTCATCCGTAGTTCATTCTTTTTACAAATAAGATATAAGTCGGTGTGCGGTAATACACATTAAAATATACAAAGGAAACTACAATTACGCAGGGTGAAGAAAGTGGTTATCTGGTATGGGAGCTTTTGCCTATTTTAGGAAGGTGGTCAAAACAAATCCCCACCTTTCCCCTGGGCCCAGGGGTGGGTGGGGGTTAATATTGACTCATGCATAAGAACGGCATGGACTGGCATTTAGTCTTAGACCTATACAAATTAATGCACAATATATCTTATCGTTTTCAAAATAATCATGAAAACATGCAGTTAGTCGGATAATATTCCGCTTTTTTACATTCTATTAATAAAGATTTTCTATGCTAGCTTTTAAGCTTTATATGTCCTAAGTTTAATGGAAAGTTAAAGGTAGGGACCTACAGTCCTTATGTACAAGTAAAGGCTTTGTTTACAATTCTGTATTCAAAATATTGAACTTAAATCGACAACTATTTATATTTTCATGCTTATACTGCAGTATAATAAATTATCAAGATACAACAATTAGGCTTTGCAAGAACATAAAATGAAATAAAAACCTATAATTAAAGTGTTTATATCACGGCGAGAGACTCCTATGTGCGCATGCGCAGACTGGACTGTACCATATCTTTTAAAAGTCCATGTATGAACAGGTACCTTTTTGTAGCTTCCAGCAGTCGATCCATCTTCAAAAGATGCCGATCAATTGTGGTGGAGTAACTGAACAAAGCATCCCGACCTGACATGTCTAGGACTTGATATGCACTGTCTCGTAATATATTATTATCTTCAATGTGAAGCTAAAAAGAAAAGTCATCACAGAAGATTATGTTAGTTTATTCGATCATTTAAACATTTTGATGCATGATCGATGTACGAAAATTTATTATGTTAAAAGTTCGACCTTCGAAATTCCCAGCAAAAACCAATAGCCGAGGATATACTAATTAGGCAACAGCTGATAAGTGGCAAAACGATGTTGTAGTTCAAACTGCAATTTGCACCAAATTTTGATGTAATTGTGCTTGCATAAAATTCCACACAAATTGGTTGTTAGAACAATTACATTACTTTTTTTTCAAAGACAACATTTCAAAGTTATAAACTATATTTCAAATTAATTAATATTTTCGTAGGACATATGACTATTTTTCAAATCGATAAATTTTATATATAGGAGTCCTAAAACTGCCCTGATCAAGTAATAAAGTACGTATCAATAGAATTATAGAAATAGCGCATCAACTAGTATAGCTGTACAAAGTTTGTCGATCATGCAGTATACGTTTTGATAAATCTGCTTTGAATAACGAGCTTTTGAAAATCGCGAAAATAAATTAATCGAGAACACTGTTTTGAGCGATATGCGTTTCCCAAATGGAATTAACAAACAAATCCGTCACAAATATCAAAGAATTACACAACATTTACTGATATGCTTAATTATTGTGATGTTACTCCGAGTAACAGGTGGGAAATTTGTCTGAGCATGCGCGAGTAAAATGAGCACGCAATTGCGTGGAATACACGCAACGCGTGTTTACAAAAAGGCACAATCGTGTAAATATTGCCAAATGTTTGTACAAAATAAATGACTGTTTTATGTTGAAAGAGTGGACATGATCTAAATTAATCATACAGAATTTTTTAGTGACGTTCTATTTCAGTACCCTGCCATTGTCTCTGGTGGGCTGTCCGTGTGCATTCGATCTGAAACAGTTGCTACTTTGCTGTCGAAGAATTTCGAATGTTTACATGAAAATAGAGGCAAGTCATGCATTTTACAACCTCTCAAACTGTATGAGCCCCTATTTTTACGCTTATACCTAAGATATCAAATAAAAGTACATGAAACAGAGAACAGTTGTAGAAAGTTTTATCGTGAGGCCACGGCCAGTTTTTAAAATATTTTTATTTGTGTTCCGGTCATCACCAAAATTACACAAAAGCCGGGCTTGAATATACAACAAATTTTGAATCTCATCAAGCACAAAAATACTTAACGTGTAACCAAAATATGCTCATGAAATCGAAATTAATAGCTAAATTTTCAAACTAGACCCTTCTCGAAGCGGTTTTGATGAAGGAAGTTCACATTTCGGCCTTTGATTCTTGGCAAAAATTTGACCACAACACGTGCGAAGCAACTGGGTCTCAGAGACTGGACTAAAAGATTGTGAGCCCCTATTTTCCTGACGATATGTTTTATACCTACAAACGCCGAAAAGTTTTTTCTTTTCATTTGGCTATATTTGAAATTGAGGCCACAGGCTATTTTTGAGAAAATACAGTTCAAAGTCAAGCTATTTTTACATATTTTCAAAATTTGTCAAATTTCGCGAGCTTGTATTTTGAACTTAGACAGCTGAAGTTACATTAAGAAACATAGGATGGAAAATTTGAGGCATATAAAGTTAATTTCAACTTACATTTCATTCTCAAATCACGTCTTTCTTCGTTTATTACGGTTTTAAACAAGCCATAGATCGACGTATACGGTATTTACTCCCATGTTCACATCACCATATTAACTTCTTCCAATCACGCGATTACAAAACAATCATCCCAAAACAAAGAATTCATGATCGACTTTTAAAAGAATAACCAATATTTTGTAAATCGTTGAATGGAAAGCAAAAAATCGTCAGCTAAAACAGCTTCTTGCTAACTTTCTGCTTTGTTTTGAATGTAAATGCAATGAGCTTTGTTTCTGCCCGCAATTTTTTGGTCAGCGACGACAAATTTCCCACCTGTTACTCCGAGTGTATATCCACACCAGGCAGGCTTGAAAAATATACCTGGCCACGGTGGGATTTTTCAAGCCTGCCCGATGTGGATATACACTCGGAGTAACATCACAATAATTAAGCATCTTATTCACCTGAGTACATTACACCAACACAGAAAATATTTACTGATATATAATGGATATATTTATATATATAATTGAGTAAATGCCGTCACAAGGTTTCAAACAAAATTAAATATATCTCAAGAATAAACCGTGTGAACCAATTTTTTCAAACGAAGTCACTTTACAGTTTTAGAAGCTTTTTCTTTTGAGACAATGAAAATTTTAATGACAGTGTCAGTGCCACTTTAATTTAATATTGTTTCATTTTCTAATAATGCCCAATTCTCTGTATACTGCCCAGTTCTCTGCATGTATACGTCTCATGTTTTTAACGCTAATATTTTTACTAACTAGGCATAATTAATTGAACTAACTCACGGACAATGTGACCAGATTTGGTAAAACGTTTTACTTTTGGTAAAATTTCGTGAATCTTCAAGAAAATTTTGTAATGAATATGATCGAGTTTTTCATTTTTTGGTAAAATTTTGGTAAAATCCATAGAAGCCCAAAACTGTGTGTAGAATGCACCAAATGCTTCCAAATGCCTACTTATATTAAGCTCGCCCCATTCCCCTGTCATTTGTCGTGCACCGCAAGGCGCAATCACTCAATGAAAAGCATTGTTCATATATATATATTATACCTAAGGCTAAGCATTATACTTTTCAGTATAATGCATATATATGAACAATGCTTTTCATTGAGTGCCTGCGGTGCAGGACAAATGACAGAGGAATGGGGCGAGCTTAATATAAATTGGCATTTGGAAGCATTTGGTGCATTCTACACACAGTTTTGGGCTGCCTATGTAAAATCTGAAAGGTTTTAATTATTAACAATCATTTTGGTAACAAAAGAACTAAATGAAAATACGAACAAAAGCACCAAATTTTGGTTGAAAGTCTTGCAGGACTGTGCTTTGGCGAGAGAATATGATGTTGACATTGAAAAGTATCCAATTTTGTCATGCTAATAATAAACAAGTAAACATGCAATGTTGCTCGTACAATTAGGGATTAATAGTACTCCTGATGTTTGGAAATTTGCCAAATTGGAATTTTGGCAAAATTTCAAACATCACTCGCACTATTAATCCCTAATTGTACTCGCCATCACATGATTACCTATACTAATAACATGCTCAAAGTGATAAACAGAACTGGCAAGCCCAAGAAGTAAAGCCTTATCATCAGCAAAAACTGCAATGCAATGAAAGCAACAAGTATTTCGAGATACCTTTTTGTGCATATTTTTTCTACTTTCATGACACAACTATTCTAGTATTGTTTTTTGGCATTATTGTGGGTCTTCGCCCTTCGGCCTTCGTAATTACGAAAACGATGACCATAAAATATTCATTTATAACTACGTTATTTTCGTAAAAGTGTTGCCAAAAATTTCCTATAAAATGTGGAAAAAATTAAGGAATAATAATAATAATAATAAGTCTAATAATAAATATTAATTTAATATTTATATTACGCAAATCATGTTATATAGTATACAAATAATGAATGTTTATGAGTGCAATGGTAAGAATATTTTCATGAGGTGAAAGATGGAATGTTCCATTCAACGAGGCGACAGCCGAGTTGAATGGAACTTTCCATCTTTCACCGAGTGAAAATATTCTTACCATTGCGCTCATAAACATTCATTATTTGTTTTATATAATACCAAAAGTCCAGAACAGACTAATAGATTCGTATGACAAGCATTTTGAGGGATGCGATTTATCGAAAACACAAAGAGTGCAATTGTACTATACGTTTTATTCCATTGCACTCGCGGAGAGTGCAATGGAACGTGTTCCATTGCACTCTTGGGAAATGGAATTTTCTATTCAATATCACGTGACCATAAACAGCCAATTAAACGATTAGAATTTAATAAGGTATTATATAATATATGATGTAAGGAAAATACGATTCAGGCAATAAAAATAGAATCACTAGAAACCTAAACCAGCAAACCACTCATATGGTAAAAATCAGACAGGTAAAAAATAGCTAAATAATTTAGCAATATTCCACATGTATATAAGCATTTGCTGTACTATTGTCAATGCCTGGGCAAATCAGTTTGAATCAGTAATACCGACAACGGTCAACAGAACCACAGACCACAGTACGTACACACAGATGTCTCAGTGATTCAGGTTAACTTAGTGTAAGGGTTTTTTTTCTCAGTCCAGCATGTTCTTAGGAAGTGCCCTAACGAGAGGCTGTCAACCCCTGAAAACATATTGAAATTTAATCTTCCATGGCCACCAGCTATTTTGGTAAAAACTACAGTACCTTTTTTAATTATTACGGTTTTACCACAGAAGTGAGACCTCTGTATGTAAGTACTCTGTGATAAAACTGAGAGGTAATACGTAACTACCAAATATAAACATTAAGTTAAATATTAATATTAATAAAATAAATAATTTGCCTTGTATAATTTCCGATTTCGCGACACTTTTACGCTTATTTTCGCAAAAACAATGTAAATGAATATTTTAGAATATTGCGTTTTCATAGTCGTAGTACGAAAACAAGGACGAGTCTTCGTTTTCGTAATTGCGAAGACCGAAGACCCATCTTAGGTCTTCGTTTTCGTATATAGGTCTTCGTTCTCGAAACACCCTAATGACTGCTGAAAAAATCTGGTCACACTGCGGTACCGATTTAGTTACCCAGTGGTGTTCGCTAGCTAATTCACACTTAGACCAACCTTAGACCAACTATGTTGCCTGTGATGTGTTTCTTTATGTTCCTCTTTGTTTTATTATATAATGGAAGTATGGAAACTCTTAAATCTTGATGTTTTATTTAACCAAAACTGATATCGCGGAATTACGGCGCGTGCAAAAAGGAAATCTCTCGGAAAGCGCCGCCATGGCAGAGTTTTCGTTAAATAAGTACCTGGATCTCCGTTATATTAAAACACCGACAACTAAGAGAAATATTGAGAAACCAGTGGCATAGCTATATGACCTAATTTTTTGTGATTATAGCTATAGCCATAGGCATGAGATTATATATACCTTTGCGTTTGTCCCCAACTCAAAATTTCTCAACAATGGAGGTCCGGTACATATGTTGGTTAATGGACGCAATTTGTTCCGCAATGTTTTTTCGAATATAGGCTGATGAAATTTATTTATGAAGTACCGAGTTTTAGGCCTACAAATTTGGAAGCATTTTTCTTACGATCTTCGTATATGAAATATAATCCTCTCGACTTTCGCGATGTTGGATATAGCTGCAAGAATATACACGCTTGTCACGCTTGACTTTTTTAATATTGAAAACATTAGTCATCATGCAGTAAATGCCTGCCACATGCATTCGTTATATACAAGGTTAAAATACGCTAACCCGGCTATTATCTTTAAATACAAATAATAATATACGTCGAATACTTACCCCAGGCTCAAGAAACCAATAATTACTGGAATTTGGAATGTTTTGATGACCAAAATGTGATGTGCCATAGACCACTCTCGCTGTAGCGTCATCGGTTTCGTTGAAGACATTCCTATAATCTTCCAAAAGCGATTGCCAGTATGTCAAGATCATGCTGTTGCTGACATGGCTCTCCAAGTTCATAGTTCCTCCAGGAAACTTTGACCTCAGTGAATCAAGCAATTGCCTTTTCCCGTCAAAGCAACTGGCAGTCAGCGTAATCTCTCTACAAACAAAAAAAAATCATTGGACCTTGTTCATACATTGCACAAATGATTGAATGATCTTACCAACAACATGAAACGAAGCATTCATATTACCTCGTATATTGGGAAGAGAACACAAAACCGGTTGCGCTTACAAGCCACTGTCCCTCTCCAGATAATACATGCTCATCTCTGCCTTTGGTGTGTGGATTGTGTACTTCACCCACGATCTTTAAACAAAAGTCGCTAAATCGCTTTCCTTCAAAATAAGTCTGTCCACCTTCATTGACAAATTTGCTTGTACGTTCCATAACAGTTCATGGGCGTGAGATTGCAACTGTGTTCAAGTTTGTGAGGGGCTCTCTTTTATGCTAACATAGCCGCTAATTAGACTCAGAGGTGTGTCAAATTTATCCCACCTATTTGACTTCCAGTCAGTCCATCAATATATGTGAGACAGAAATATGTTTCTTCGTATATAAGCTTTATGTGACTTTGAAAGTCATATTAAACTTTAACTTGAGTATGTTCGACCCCCTTATTATGGTGATGAAGATTTCTCTTGTGTAATATAAATGAGCGTCTCGTATTGAAAAAACAGCAAAGTCGGAAAATGAATCACAAAAGAAATCGGCGACAAAATTTGTCACACCAGCTATCAATAAAAAGCTGACAAAAAATATATGAGGTGCGAATACTTATTACAGTAACCGAATTGCTCGAAGTCTTCATAAAAAATGGATTGTTTATTAATTTATTTCAGTGCATGGAAGTTAAAAAAGGGCGCGCAAAAACGAGGTCGAGAGAATTTTATGAGAGACCCTAGAAACGAGGTTGAATTTTATGGTGGGTGGGCAGGCGGCGAGAGAACGAGAGATATATCTATATTTACCTTTTCGACCTCGTTTTGGACACAATAGTTATTATTAACTTCATCCATAGATACCAAAGCCATGTTTTGGGTTTTTTTTATCGGTTACCCTGCGAGCAAAGTTCTCTCGTCTTTCTTCATTTATCGGTATGATTAAACTTAACCATGCACATACTCCTATCTTCTTCTTTTCTGACTGTACTATCTGTAACCTTGCGATTATCAATGTTCATGTTCTTGTACCTCTATATACTTAAGGTTTTTTTTTAATATATGTAATATGTAGGGCAAAATTAATAAATAATAAATGCATCATATTATGCATCGGGCCGCATAATGTGGTGCGTATGTCTGCGGCGCCTATAATGCAGCTCGTATATATTTCACACCTCATTGTCCAGGTGCTTCTTTATTATCTCAATTTTGATTTCATATCAGTGTTTCACCGCAAATTATGTGTGAAGAAACTCCAACTAAAATTTATACTCGTAATCTCGTATGGATATCTCGCCAAATTCAAAGGTTAGAACGTTCTGTGTTATACCAAAATATCATGAACGGCATAAACCGTGGAAGTATTTCGAAATTATAGGGGCACTGGAAAAAAAAAAGGCACTTTGGTAATAAAAAATTATATATACGAAAATACATGTGTTTTTTTTTAACTACAAAAACTGAATCTTAACAATAAAATCGAATGCATCTCTGGCTGACAAGCATGCAACGAGAACCTCAAATTACCACCAACTACAGAGTTTAACAGCCTGCGAAAAGTTAACAATTTCTCCCATGTATTTTCTTCTTAGATTTATTTAACGTTTAGATAAATGCATGAACTTGAAATCCAATGCGCCGATGGTAGATTTTCACAACAAATAATGTCAATAGCACCTTCAATGCAATGTCCAGGTGAAAGTTGTTTAACTTTTCTGTTTACAACTTGAGCTGTTTTCATATGCTTACCTAGCCTTAATTAATGATAGTTTGGTAGTAGTTTTACGTCTGTTTTCATACTCCTCTATTAACTAATTCATTCATTTAAAGATTTAGAGACTAGTGTGATGATTGCGATGAGTGTAGCGAGTTAGACCAGTGCGGTGATTGCGATGAATGCGATGAGTGTAGTGAGTTAGACCAGTGCGGTGATTGTGATGAGTGCGGTGATTGTGATGAGTGCGGTGAATGCGATGGGTGTAGTGAGTTAGACCAGTGCGGTGATTGCGATGAGTGCGGTGAATGCGATGCAGTGTAG